TCACCAACCGACGTGGCCCTCATTCTTTCTTCATCCACCCATGGCAAAGGCCGTCCCTGGTGGGAAATCTATTTGAGAACACCAAATGCAGGCTGTGAGAGAGAGCAGTCCAGAGAGCCTGTGAACATCTGTTAATGTGTAATAACTCATAGTGTCACCCAAGCAACAGAGTTTACACAGCTCTGAGAAAGGTGTTTACATAAATATTCATATTAATTAAAACATTTTTGTATTTGTAAAAATGATGAAGTTTATGAAAAATATTTTTTACTTTACTATTTGGTGGACTGGAGCAATAGCACAGCGAGTAGGGTGTTTGCCTTACATGTGGCCAACCCGGGTTCGATTCCTCCGCCTCTCTCAGAGAGCCCAGCAAGCTACCAAGAGTATCCCACCCACACAGCAAAGCCTGGAAAGCTACCTGTCATGTATTCGATATGCCAAAAACAGTAACAACAAGTCTCACAATGGAGATGTTACTGGGCCTGCTCGAGCAAACCAATGAACAATGGGAGGACAGTGCTACAGTGCTACAATTATGTACTGGTTTACAATTTTTGTGGATTCCGGATTACCACTATTCACCTATATTTGTAGGTGTCATCAGCTCCACAATTAAAAAAAAATCTCAAATATAAAATAAAAAAGAAACATAGAAAGCAGCAGAACAGCAAATGGTCAAAGTCATCAGAACTAAAGTTTTTTTTTTTTTTTTTTTTTTTTTTTTACAAAACTGAGTTCACCTGGAAATGGGTAAATTGGAGGGACACTGATGGAAGAAATGGGTACTCTGGTGGTGGGTGTGATTATTTTATTAATTAAAGGTATGATTAACAGTATTATAAATTCTGCTATTTATTTTTATTAAAAATAAAAAATAAGTTTTAAAAAATACGAACAAGAGGAAAATTTTAAATGAACTTTTTAAAAACTCGGCTCTTTTGTAAGTCATCTTCTGTAAAATATTTAAGAATGATTCTGAAAGTATTATGTCCCAGAATAAATAAGCTGGAGTGAGAAATTAATCGAGAGGGTAAAATAATGTTTTCTATTATTTAAACAAATATTTCACAAAATTCTGTTTAAAACAGGAAAATGTTAATGAAGACCACAAATTATTTTAGGGGGTGGTTTTCTTGCTAAAATAGGAAAATCACACTGAATCCCAGAAAGAAACATTTTTAGGGAGGAACTTTTAGTGAAGGTAATATTTGCATACTAACAATATGAAATAAAGACATGAAAGCATGCACATATTAAGCTTTATGCCAAATTTGAGCTTCACCTTGGAGGAGCTCTTGAAAAATTTGTGCTGCTTACCCCGGAAGTAGAGGACAAAAGTATTTTCTGCGAAGACTGGAGAAATAGTACAGCAGTTAGGGCTTGGGAGTTTGTCTCGCACACACACGACCTGGGTTTAACACTTGACAATCCATATGGTCCCTCGAGCACAGACAAGAGTAATTCCTGCCAAGAGTAATCACTGAACATCATCGAATGTGACTCCAAAAGCAAAAAACAAATCAGTATGTCCTGCATAAGACATAGGGTCTCAGTCTCCTGCCCTTGGCAAACAGGGTTTTAGCTGCCCGTGAACAGTGACTATTAGGTAGTCTGAGATTTGGTTGTCAAAACTGAATCCAAGATTATCCAGTAATCTAATAGGGGCTGGAGCGATAGCACAACAGTAAGGCGTTTGCCTTGCATGCAGCCAACATGGCCGACCTGAGTTCGATTCCTCCGCCCCTCTTGGAGAGCCCGGCAAGCTACCGAGAGTATCTCGCCCGCACGGCAGGGCCTGGCAAGCTCCCTGTGACGTATTCGATATGCCAGACACAGTAACAACAAAGTCTCCAATGGAGACGTTACTGGGCCTGCTCGAGCAAATCGATGATCAACGGGAGGGCCTTTACTTACTTTACTTAACAGGGGCTGAATCCTAAACTCATGAATGAATTTTAATTTGGAACCATATACCGAAACACTGGATAAAATAATATCAAAAGCCAGTTTTTTAATGGTAGAAGCATCAAAAATAAATTTTAGGGCTGGAAAGATAGTACAGTGCATAAGATACTTGCCTGCAGACCTGAGTTCTATCCCCTGCTCATGCATATGGAGCCTGCCAGAGTGGTTAGAGTCCGACAGGAGAGATCCCTGAATGTAGAGCTAGGAGCAAGCCCTTAAGCACAGCTCTGTGGCTCATTACTCCCAAATAACTAGTTTTAAAGTCAGCATTTAGAAATTAAGTCTGTCATAAATCTCATTGGAAATAAACTTCCATAGTGTGGTCAAAATATTTTGAAAAATACATAAGAAACCTGAAGAGATGAGTACTACCATTGACTTGTATTACATTGGATATGTAATATTGTCAATGATTACCAGTGTGGTGGCTAAATTTACACTAAATAAATGCTCTTGAGGAAGATTTAGCTTCACATAGTACATATTGGTTTTCATTTGTTAATTCATGTAACTGACTTTCTTCTATTTTTATGGCAATTAAGTAAAAGTCATCTCCAATTTAAATATCTGTTTGTAAACTACTTAGAAGGTGTTTTCTTACCACATCATATATGTAATTTACACAAAGTGAGCAATAAATGCATTGTACTGAATGGAATGATGAATGTTCATTGTTTTGCAAAAGTGTGTTTCTTTAAACACTTAACACTGTATTTTAAATAGGCTCACAGTTTCCTGGTTGCTCAACTAGTCACAGATCAAATCCTATTACTACTTATGAAAGCTTCTCCTTTTAAAAAGTATTAGGTTTTAGAATTATCAGTTTCTTTTTAGACTTGCATTATTATCAGGATTGAAGGGTTCATGGTTTAAAAAAGGAATCTTTCCATAACGTAGTTATTGTACCGAATACTTCTGGCTAAAGAAAACCAACACGGGGTATGGTGCCGTCAGCAGGTCAATCTGTACCTGTGAGGCGAGTGCATCAGCGCCTTCAGTCTTGCAGATACCCCCAAATTGCTGCTGTGCCTTTGGCCAGACCCCCAAAACTTGGGGCAAAGATTACCAAGAAAGGAAACACACCTACAAATCACCTCAGGCTCAGCTATATAATTGGAGGCATGGCCTCTCTGGTTCCTGGATTGAACTGCTTAATGGTCATGATCCCAGAGACTCAGAAACAAATCTCGAAACCCCGTGGCTTTTGGCAGAAATGCGTCTGGTCCCTGCAGTAGGTTACTGGTGCTGGGCCAACCCAGGTGGGAATAGGTTTCATGCCTTGATCTGTTTCCCCCTGGCGGCCCTGTGGCCACCCTCCTCCAGAGGCCATTGGACAGTCAGGTTTGGGCCCGCAGTGACGAGAAACACAGGGCCTCATGGGATGGGCGTCCTGTCCTCCCCACCACAACGAGACCCCAAGTCATCGCCCACGAATGGCCTCTCTGGCTCCTGATCAAGCTGCTTAATGGCCATGATCCCAGAGACTCAGAAATAGATCTCGAAACCCTGTGGCTTTTGGCAGAAGTGTGTCTGGATTCCACAGTAGGTTACAGTTGCCGGGCCACCTTAGGGAAGAAAGGTTGTTGTCACTCCACCTGCTCCCCCTTAACAGCTCAGTGGCCGTCATTCTCCAGAGGCCACTGGACAGTCAGGCTTGGGCCTGCAGTGACGAAACTTGTTGGGTCTCACGGGATGGAGTAGAGCCAGTCCTGTCCTCCCCGTCCCAATGAGACCCCAAGTCATCGCACACGAACGGCCTCTCTGGCTCCTGATCAAGTTGCTTAATGGCCATGATCCCAGAGACTCAGAAACAAATCTAGAAACCCAGTGGCTTTTGACAGAAATGTGGCTGGACCACTCGGTAGGTTACTGTCATCAGGCCACCCCAGAGGGTGTTGTCCCTCCCCCTGCTTCCCCCTGGTGGCTCGGTGGCCGTCATCCTCCAGAGGCCATTGGACAGTCAGGTTTGGGTCCACAGTAGCGAGACATTTTGGGCCTCACGGGATGGGGGTGGAGCCGGTCCTGTCCTCCCCACCCCAGTGAGACCCCAAGTCATCACCCACGAACGGCCTTTCTGGCTCCTGATCAAGCTGCTTAACGGCCATGATCCCAGAGACTCAGGGGCAAATCTCGAAACCCAGCAGGTTTTGGCAGAAATCCCTCCAGATTTAAGTGTTAAAATTTTGGAATTTCAAAATTGTGCGGCCACAACTGCAGCCACGCGACATCATATGTTATTCATAACCAGCAATAGAAAACAAATTGTCTACCATTGCCTTTTCAGCATTTCTCAGTGTTGGGGTAAAATCTCAAATAATAATGGTGGGTTTGGTGTCAAAATATTGAATGTGATCAAAGTAGAGAGAGAATAATGTGGAAATCATCTGTCCCACACATAGGGGGAAAGTGTGGGATGGGGGATTACGGGGGTTGTTGGGGGTCGAGAATGGGCACTGGTGAAGATACGGGTGTTTCATTGTATGACCGAGAATTAGACCCAAAAGCTCTATAACTGCTCTCATGGTGATTCAATAAATAAAATTATAAAAAATAAAAAAAAGAAAACCAACAATGAGCTCTATCAATTGTAACTGCTTCACAACTAAATAATATTTACTCAAAGAACTAAAATGTGTGTGGGCTACATAAAATGAAGTGAAAGGTGCAGACCTTTCTTCCTTCCATTTTAAATAACAAAAATATATCCAAGGTAATTTTATAGATCCAATAGGCTTTATTAACTTATGTCTTTCTCTGTCTCTCTCTTTCACTACCTATGATCCATTTTGTGGTAGGGAATTTAATTATGTGTAATAACTTCAAAATGTATCAGGCTCAAAGAACTATGAACATGCTTTGCTGCAAGAGCCTAGGTGACTCCAGGCAAGTTGTGCACCTTCTAGCAACACAATATGTAATTGAGGATTGAGCTGGGATTATTACCCCTAACACTGCCAGTTCTGCATCAACACAAAGAAAGACTGTACCAAATGACAACTATTTAATGAGTAAATTACACAATTCAATGTATTTGAAATCATTTATTCTTGGCAAAATCAAACATTATTGTTTACATAGAAATACAAGTTTCAACGAGATTTTCAAAAAATGCACTGGTGAAATAAATGTTCATAATTAATGACTAATTATGTACTACTTAATCATGCCAGTAGCAGAATTTCTTAACATTAAAAATTTTAAAGTACTACCTTAAATGTGCAAATACCATCTTAGTAATCTATTGTATTATCATTGATAGTAAATGGCCACTAAATATATAGCTATTACATAAAGCTTTTTAAGTACAATAAAAATACAAATTCTATCTGTTAAAAAAAGCCATTGGAATAGCTTCTAAACATCCTCATTATATAAATTCCAAAATACTATGTGACAAACAAAATTATAAAGAGTCTTCTTTATGAAACATACTAACCTCTAATTAAGGTACAGCTTAGCAGATAACAAACAAAAAACCAAAAAAAAAAAACAAAGAAGGCTTATACAGACCATAAGTTATTGTGGAGATACATACAAATATAATATTGCATGAGCATATTTGATTCTTTTCCTAGAGAAACGTACCTTTAGCATTTGAAGACAATTGCCATGAGTAATTGCCACGAGTGAAAGAAAAGCATATTTTGAGCATCACTGCCATCTAATATCAGATCTTTGATTTTTATTTATTATAATGTGATGAACCAAATAATTAATTTAGACTATGGATATTTGTCATAATGAGTACAACTTAGAATCTTCTGTATAATAGTATAGGAAATGTATAGGGAACAAACAGTTTTAAAGGACAATGTTCATCAGTACATTCGAAGATTCTAATGATTATTTTAATTAAGGATTAAACTGACCAACTCGATCTTGTGAAAATTGAGACTCTGTCCTCACCAAGTCAAATACAAAGTAAATTTTCTAAATAATATTGTTGATGTATACAGAATACTTGCCTTGATTTTAATATCTCAAAACTAATGTTGCATCATAAAATAAGCTTTGGTTAGAAAATATCTTTATCAAAGAAGAAAATAAAAGGATAGTTCTAATTCAGTTGAGAAAAAAATGTATTTGGCAAAGTAAATAAGAGTAAGAGACAAGTACATAAAGTACACAAAGCATATATTCCAAATGAGTTTTTAAGGAAAAACATATCAGATGATATTAAAGGTGTTGGATAATATTGGATTACAATCATATTTTGAGTGTTTCTGTAAATAGAAAACTTCCTTTTTTCCTCTCATAAGTTCTATTATGAGTATGACACTATTACCTTTTATTTACTAACACTTTAAATGCATTTGGTTTAAACATTGGAAGCTGGATTTTAATTTGTCTCATAATAATCACATGTCTGTATTATATTCAAATTTATATTTTTCAAAGACATAAACAATCACTTACACAAAATGACATAATCATTGGCAACATACTTACTGGTTTGAATATAGAGCATGTTAGTTTGGCATTGATAAATTCTTCAGAACTTTGAAAGTATTGATTTATAGTTTGGATTATTCAATAGTAAACTATTATTCCAAAAACTGAACAAAAGTTTTCTAAACTAATTTAAAGTAGACCAAAGGATATATTTTGGATAACTTGTTTTTCAATTATGAATTAACGTACAACAGGAAAAGGAAGGAGCATATAGGCAGAAACATAAAGGCAACTGTTTTTAAAATAAATTCAAGACTGAATGTCTGAAGAAATTTTACTAAAATAATTGTTTAAAAAGTTATTCAAAAATATATTGGCACATGTGTAATATCTGTTACATAGTAATAATGAATGATATATATGTATATGAAAGAAAACTGAACATGGGATCAGGATCTGTTGTTCTTGACATCAGCACCTGCTGTCTAATGGGTCAAGACAAAATACTGTGCCTTCGAGGGTTAATCCCATTTTGAACCCCTCCTGTAAAAGAAAGTAAATATCACTGCATTAGAAAATTTTTGGGGTGGGGGTAGGGGATATTAGGAAAATAAATGAGATTACAAATACTTCAAATCTTCATGCTTTTATAAACATAGAAGGATATTTTGGTCAAGTATTGCTCATAAAGTTTAACTTTTTATATATGTGCATAATCCAATAAATTCTTAACATCCATAGCATTTTATATATATTATGATACATCTACACAATGGAATACTATGTGTCTGTTAGAAAAAATGGAGTCATGAAATCCCCTTATAAATCAATGAACATGTAGAGTATCATGCTGAGTGAAATGAGTCAGAAGGAGAGGGACAGGCATAGAATTATTGCACTCATTTGTGGGATATAAAAAGAAAGAGAGAGACTAAGGCCCAAAGACAGAAGAATCAAGGGCCAGGAGGATTGGTCCATGGTTTGAAGTCTGTTCCAAGTGCTGGGAGAGAAGGCATTTGGGATAGAGAAGGGACCACTATGATAATGATGGTCGGAAGTGATTGCTCTGGGTGGGAGCTGTGTGCTGAAAGTGGGTAATAGACCAAACATAATGGTCTCTCAGTATTGCAAACCCTAAAAGTAGGGAGAGAGAGAGAAAGAAGAAAAGTGCTGGCCATAGAGGCAGGCTGAGGGTGGTGGGGTGGGGTCGGGTGCTGAGTTTGGCTGGAGGGATATTGGGGGACATTGGTGATGGAAAATGTACACTGTTGGAGGGATGGGTTAATTAGAACATTGGATGATTGAAACCAGATCACGAACAGCTTAGTTACCGTGTATCTCAGTTATTCAATTTTTAAAAATTAATAAAAGTGAGGTTAACTCTGAATATATGAGATCAGTATGCACGAAAGACTGAAATAAAATATAGAGTTGTTTTTAAGAACTTGATACTTATTTTAGTAAAGTCTATTATGCTATTCTATCTAAGCTTAAATATACCCCTATTGATTTTAAGGATTAAAATTCATTTAAATATGAGTAAAATGATTAAATCTCACACTGATGAGAGGTTCAAGGTAGCCTTAACCTTTCATTTCTGTCTCCTTATCTAGAGGCCCAATAAAATAATTTTAGTAAATGCAATGAGTATTCTGTGAATATAATTTTAGGAGACAAAACTTCATCTGCTACTCCTGCTATTCCTGTAGTTGCAAGCTGTTGCTTTCAATCCTATGTCTTCCCCTCCAAGCAAGTTTTAGATATTTTCAGAAATTAAGCTACTTTGATTTATCAAATGTAAGTATACAACTGACATGAGTCTTTACTAATGGTCACAACTGAGATATGAAAAAAGATATGAGATATGAAGTCAAACAGATCCTGTTTTAAGCTATCCTGTAGCAGTGTCTCTCTCTGTGTGATTATATTTATATATCATGATTATATATTTTATATAACTATCCTACTTTTTAATGAAAAGAACTGGAATTTTTTCCTATATTATTGATAGTCTGAAGTGACCATGTGACAGAGTGCCAATAACTACAAAGAGTAGTGTTATTCTTTATATATAATATGTATACACAATATAACACACATATCTATGTTTATCCTGATAGTGTTTATAATTTTTTAAATTATTAATTGAGATTCCGTGGTGCAAATACTACTAATAACGGTTTCTTATGCACATAATTCCAACATCACACAAATTCTCAAAAAACTTTAGCATTCTCAAGAAGCTTTAGTCCTCTGGTCTTCCCTGTGTTTTATTTAATTAGACTGTGTTTACTTTTGTATTAAACACTAGGCTGTATTTACTTGCAAGTTAGAGATTTGCTATCGTTCTGTATTTCCCTGAATTTCTTTTCTTTTGACATACATCTTATGTAAATACAACATAAACATTATCACACAGGCATAGAGTGCAGTGTTTCCCAAAGTGGATCATACTGTCCACCTCCTTAGTTGATGGGGAGTAGGTGGGAGTGCAGGGGTAAGTAGGGTCTTTCTGTTTGTTCACTTTCAATTTCCAAGGGCACTGAATAACTTTTCTTCTGAAAAGATGGCATATCAAATAAGCCTGAGAAACTTTGATTTTGGGAGAAAAAATAGGTACAAAACAATCAATCAGAAAAAAAGACAATGGTAGGTGATATAAAGAGGATAATTTGTATGATGTCTGAGGGATATTAGATACTTGGTGGTGACTATACATAGAATATTTATATATTCACATTAAAATTATGTACACCTGAAGCTTCTACAATGCTCTAAGCCGATTTTATTTCAACAAGTAAAAATGTGAAAGTGAAAAAAAGGAGAAAGGCAAAATAAAAACTTGTAAGTCATCCTTATATGCTATTAAGGCCAGAAAAGGATCAGTGTGTCTACAATACAAAGATCACCTAGCAATGCCATCACTTACGTGGTTTCAAAACTTCCAAATACTTGGAATAGAAATTATAGTTAGTGGAGTAAAAATTAAAAGTACATACCATTATTTTTAAAGCATATTTGTACCACAACAAGAAAAATTTTGTCACATATTATAAATACATACAAATATAAAACATATGACAAATAGAAAAGATAACACTTTAAAAATACTGCAACTAAAAATTTTTAAGTATTTTTTGGAGATTAGAGATCTGTGGACAACCTCTGTTTAGAGAAATAGGCAGGTATATGGAATGTATTATCAGTACTTGACAGTACTGTTCTGAAAGGCAAAAGAGCAAAGTCAAATAAAATCAAGCTCTATTTCTAGCACAAAAATGTGTATCACTTTAAAGAGTTCTTCCACGGTGTTTTTATAAGGCTTATTTTAGTTCCCGGAGATTAATTACTTCAATTAATGCTTTGTTATATTACTCCTTGGTTTCTTCCTTCCCTCATAAGTGAAATGTCCCATACATTTCTAACAATTCCTCCTAGGTCTTATTTTGTGAATCATCATTTAGTAGCCATAATGACTACTGTCATTATGAAGCCTGCTAAGGTTTCTACATCCCTTAAATCTTAATTGCTTTTTTGGGGGGGCTAGTAAAGGGAACTAGTCACAGTCAACAGTGCTCACGCACAACTCAGCTTGTGTGAAGGAGCAGGTGGTGCTGGGAATTTAACACACCTTCTTGTTTGCAAAGCATATGTGCCATCTTCCAGGCCCCTCCCCTTGAATTCTAAAACCTCAGAAATGCAAATGAGGCTTTATTCAATTTACGTAATGAAAGATACTATCATAAATTACACACACGATAATTTTTAAGGTTATTAATATTTTATGAAATAATTTTCCAGTTCTAATTTCTTATTTTAAAAAGGAGAAAAGAAAGCATATCAGATAAGAAAAAATATTCACAAATTTAAAATATAATTGGTAACATGATGAAATGTGCCTTTTCAGTATTCTTGTTTTCTCCACATATTTTAAGCCACTTTACTTTTTTTGGGTGAGGTGAGTCACACCTGGCAATGCACAGGTATCAGGTATTCCACCTGGTTTGCGCTCAGGAATTACTCCTGGCAGTGCTCAGATGACCATATGGGATGCTGGGAATCGAACCTGGGTTGGCCATGTGCAAGGCAAATGCCCTACCCGCTGTACTATCACTCAAGCCCCTTTAAGCCACTTTAAATAATACATAATTATATTATTTATTTTTTAGTCTTAGAAGAATAATCTTTCTCTGTTATTTTGTTTTATTTTGATTTTAGGGCTATACCTGAAAGTACTTGGGCATCAAATTTAGGGCTCACACATGAATATCATACTTCTAAATGTTAAGCTGTCTCTTCTGCCCATTCTATATTATTTGACTCCCTGTAAACTAATTTAATGTCTATGCAATATTCATTAGTGTTCTCCCAAATCTTCCAGTTGACATGATGCCACTTAATGCATAATTCTTTTAGTCTTAATTGACTTGTTATATTTCTTCATTATTGTGCTGAATTTATACATAATGCTTTGGAATAATCACTGTCAAAATAATTTGGTCATTTTTTACATGCACCAGAAGCTTTAAATACATCACTGATTTCAAATAAATACATAATTTTCTAACAACTTAAAAGTAAAATATGGCTTATAATTTCTGCTTAAATTCTTTAAGAATCTTCTTTGAGACATCTGTGATTTCCTTTGAAAATGAAAAAGAAAAACGAATGTTTCAAAACCTTACACTGAGTCAAATTTTTCTATTATAGTTAAGATAAAATTATGACATAATGTTTACATTGCATTAATTAGGCTAACAAGATTAAAAACAAAAAAAAAGTCATAGACTTTCAATGAAGGAAATGTTTTTCTTTAATTAAAGTGACCTTTCAAGTGACCTTAGATTAAAGAAATAAATAAGCAGTGAGGTGGATAATGGGGCAATGATTAAATTGCAGGAAAAATAACCATAACACCTAGATTGTAAAACCTTTTAAAATAATTATGAAAATCAGCAACATCTATTTGAAACCAGCATTTGAAAATTTATTGAGTAGAATATGCAAATATTACAGTTTTAGATTTCAGTAGTTGTACATTTTTTAAAACCTTATAAAAATATATACCAACCATCTCTGTCGCTACCCAGCATGAAAGCAGAAAAAAATAAAAGAGACATGAGCAAAATATTAGATATGGCATACTTGACAGCAAAACTTCACAGTTTAACCTTACTTAGTATATCATAAAACCATTCGGTGCAGTGATTCTCAAACTGGCTCCCTATAGAAGTCTAGAGATATATACTTATTTTATTTACTTCCAAAGCAAAAGGGAAAATTAAGTTTTGTAAAAATATCTTAAAAAAACAATAAAAAGTGCTCTTTATAATAATTTGAATAATTTCTGAAAACAAAGTCTACCACATAAATGCCCTTATAAAATATGTGATTTTATATAATATTAGTTTTAAGCAGTATAATGTTAATTGGTAAAGTTAATGGAGAAGGAAAGGAATTGATTTCAAATAAAACAGGATTCTCACTAAATAATTGTGTGTTTTGTGACTGAAAATTTTGTAGTACTTAAAAAATAGAAAAAAGATGGAAAATTGTGGTACTTAACTGGATACTCTGAGATTGACAACAGTAAATTTAGTTTCAACCAAACAACATGATTCATCTTATTGTATTATATTATTTTAGTTTATGATGCTCTTTTGCCTTAAATTATATTTTTTATCAATGGCTATATGAAAGCTATAGTAATAAATTGTTTATAATATTTTAAAAACTTTAAAGAATGTTACAAAAATGTAAGTTTATATTTAGGATTTAAAATAATTTTATGTAAGTAGGAACTATGAATCACACACCATAGTAAGTGCACTTTAACACTTAACATATGTTTTTTGACAATCTCAAGGCAAATGTTAAGTAATCCAACTTTTTTTGAGGGTGGGGCAAGGGGCCATATCCACAAATGCTAGGGTGAGGGAGGAGGAGCTAGCCCATGGATCTGACTACTGCGTGTTCAGCCTGGTTGTGAGTCAACATGGTGGAGCTTGGAGCATCACCAGGGCTACCCATAACAGTGCTTGACAATTCAACTTTTAAGATGCAAGTATTATTATGTTTTCAGCAACAGGAAATTCAACACTTTAGAAAACTAAGTGTGCTCATTGCTTCCATCCAAGTGATAAGGTTATTTATATTATCTTTCTAGTTATTCAGATTTAACCATTAGTAGAAGATCAAAATCTACCTTACGCAAGTAAGGAAGCGGAGTAAAGGCATGGGCTTGGGCCTAATGAGTACATTCTTTTTTTATTGCCTCTCCTCAGTCAGATTCTTAGATTTGGTCTCGGCCTGCATTTAACTGAACAGTAATTTAGATGAAAACTAGAGTACAGTGGTTTCACCAAAATGTAGAGGGTAAATGCAAACTTTATTCTACTGCTTATAAAACTCTTATCATGACACTTTATATACATAATCTTTAAAACCAATCTTCCAGATCAATTCAGAACTGAGAAATAAAAAAGAAGATGAAGAAATAAAAATCCATGGCTACGTTCCTAAAGAAGTTGCTATTGAGTGTCTGCTTTATTTTTAAATAAACCTTAGAAGTCTACACTACAACTACAATACTTCTTTTTTAAGAGACCAATCTTATACTTACAAGAATTTTCCTTTATAGTCTCATTCATAATTTTGAACTGTCTAATTGTTAAATCTTAGGTTAATTCTTATGTGCCTAGAGTAAGGCTTTCAAAATAATGAACCACTAGAATCCATGTAATTTGTACAAAATATTAGATATCTTATTGCTATTGCAAACTGTACTATTTAAAGCAGAGCAAAATCTTATCCTTAGAATGTATAGGACTTTTTTAGCAGAAAATATATATTTTTACTTTAAATAAATTTTTATAATGATAACAATTCAAAGAAAGAATAGTTTTGGTATAATTATTTCCCTTGTCCCATATTACAAAGAAAGGAATCACTTCTCGGGAAATCTATTAAAGTAGTCACCTGCATCTCATCTAATTTTGACTGAATATCTGGAGGGAAATCCCCTGCTCCACAGTTAAATGGGTCAAAAGGTTCTGCTCCAAACAGGTCTCGTTCTAAAAGAAAGAGAACAATTTTGTTAAATGACCAGAAGCAAATATGGTAACTTAATTCTCAGAGGCAGAATATCTGAGTTCACCAAATGTTTTAAGATATACAGGAGTAAATAAAAAAATTCAAGCATGAACAACAATTTTTTTTGGTCACAGTTTCCTCACATAGGGTTGATAAATCATGGCGTTTATAAATTTATGTATTTCTTTCACTAAGACGATCCAAATGCTCTGATAATAAACAATTTGAAACAAAATTTTTTAAATGTCAAAAATGTTTAAAATCACTACTGGAGTTGTTGTTTCTATTCATCAAATGAAAGCATTAAAAACAAAACTCCAAACAAAATTAAAATATAAAGTGCCTTGTATTATCATGTAAAAATGACTTTTAGTAAAATAGTTTCAAAATCAAAAAACATTTTTCAATGAACTCTGAACTATAATAAGGTAAAAGTAAAGGCCCTCCCGTTGATCGTCGATTTGCTCGAGCGGGCCCAGTAACGTCTCCATTGGAGTCTTTGTTGTTACTGTGTTTGGCATATCAAATACTCTCGGTAGCTTGCCGGGCTCTCCGAGAGTGGCGGAGGAATCGAACTCGGGTCGGCCATGTTGGCCGCTTGTAAGGCGAACGCCCTACCGCTGTGCTATCGTTCCAGCCCTTGAACTATAATGTAAAATATAATTAACTGAATTTCACATATAGACACACAAAAGTTCAGTAATCAAAGATTTTAGTGAGGATATTAGCATATATAATTATTTGACATTTAAATGGTATAAAAATACAACAAAATAATACAGAATTGTTTAGAGAGCTTACTAATTTCAGTAGATCTACTAGGTACAGGAGGTGGCTGTGTGCCATTGCGAGTGGGTAGTGAAGATGGGTGTGATGTTGGAGAAAATGGAATCATATCAAATATGTCAGTAGAAGGTGACTTAGGTGTCATACTGCCTGCCTGCAATAAAAATAATATCAGTTAGGGAAGTACTTCATGAAGACATATTCTAGTGCTAAGTACTCATGCTTATATATTAAATATATGTATATATAAAACAATAGTAAATTTATGCCAATCACATAAACACAATTTTGTAGGCTAAGGTAGTCAAATATTGGGATTTCATATGATTCAATTATGCCAAAGCTTGCTGACAATGTTATTTCTGCAAAAAAAGTTCTCAAATATGTTGTTAAAAATGGGAACAATATTATTCTATAGTAAGTAAAGTAAAGGCCTTCCCGTTGTTCATCGATTTGCTCAAGCGGGCCCAGTAACGTCTCCATTGGAGATTTTGTTGTTACTGTGTTTGGCATATCGAATACATCACGGGTGGCTTGCCAGGCTCTGCCGTGCGCGCAAGATACTCTCGGTAGCTTGCCGGGCTCTCCGAGAGGGGCGGAGGAATCGAACTCAGGTTGGCCATGTTGGCTGCGTGCAAGGCAAACGCCCTACCGCTGTGCTATCGCTCCAGCCCATATTATTCTATAGATATATTAAAAGATTATTGAATTCTCTGTATACTTAAAAATAATTTCCATTTGCATCATAGATTTAAAGACAGTTTAGAAACTATATAAAATATCATTTTAGAAGTTTAATCTATAAAAATGAAATTTTAAACAAAAAATGAACATAGATTATAGTCATTAAAAGTAACACTGAAATGTAATTAATAATTTAAAAGTAGAATATTTTATTTTTAATCTTTTATTGAAATGGTTTTTAATAAGCTCCCTTATGAAATAAATTAGCAACCATAAAGTATATCTTCAAAATTATTAGTTATCTAGAATCTAGCTTTTTACACGGTAGGTTTTGACCTCTATATAGGGGATCACAGCATTTTTTGTTTCCCTTTGGTTTTTTTCTTTGGTTCTGGAGTCACACCCGCTGGTACTCAGAGCTCATTCCTCATGGTACTCAAGGTATTGTATTTTTATATACTAAAGGTCAGCCAATTCCTCTACCCCTTGTACTTAAATCTGTGGCCCTGGGGTCACAAGTTTTTTAAAAAATGTTTTAAAATATTATCTTGTGATGAATATCAGTACATTTTTTATTTGTATACCTGGAGTTACATAAAAATTTCTTGGGTGAAAAAGAATAATGAGTGCAAAAATTTCAGAAACCCTGATTTAGACCAATTTTGGCCAAGGGATAACATAAGAATGAAACACTCATCACTTTGTATGACTGAGGAGCAAATAAAAAAGAAAAAGAATCCTGTTTGATGAGGAAAAGTAAGAGGAAGAAAATTACTTTGGAGGACGGAGGCTTCCTAAACAGTGTTCAGGAGGCCTGGGAGTCCCTTTCTGCAATTCTGGGCCAACCATGCCAGTGGCTCAGTATTATCGCCAATGGACTTGGTACTACTCCATCCACACACGGTGATGGTACTCTGTTCACTCTGAGGTCCTTGTGTATGTACAGGGCCAATGCATAACGTAAGAAAAAAAACACTCATCATTATGTAGACTGAGGGACAATCATATAAAAATAAAAGGAAAGAGAATTCCCTCTAGGTGACGCTTGAGCACAGCCTTAACTCCTGTACTACTTCTCAGCTCCCCAATTTTGTTTCTCATAAAAGAATATCAACAGAGGTTTCTTGGAGGGATTCATATTAAAATTAAAGTTCCCAACAAACATTTACTTTTTATTCATATAGAGTAAAGATCATGAAGAAAAATAAGACATTTTGTAGAAAGTGTGACAGATTTGCTATGGATTTAACATGATTTGTTTTTTTCATGTGGGAGAATTTTTGTCGTTTTAATTATTAGCAATCTATTTACCTTACTGGTCATAAATATATCCCCAAAATATATTTTTGGGGATGACTTTATCTATCAGCGACTTTATCTTTTTCCTTCTACTAGCAGATTTTATCCTCCTAAATCATCCATGCTACCATTTTCCCTGGCTTCCTTTCCCCAATCTCAGTTCAGTAAAGTTCTATAATTGAATTAGGACAAACAAAGCAACCGACATATCTTCTCTCCTTCCATATTCTCTTAGCCACTAAGCTCTTTCTCTTTTCATATCAAAGCTAAACTAGCTTCGTTCTCTCCTCAACTCCTAATCAATATTTGTTCCTTTGCTCTGAACTTTTTGGAAATCCTCTTCCCAGTAGCACGGACGACCTCATTTTTCAATTGCTGTGTTTGACGGATCCTTTGAAGTATCTATCCTATTTCATCTTTCTTTGCATTCGTACAGCTTCACCATACAGAAAGGATCCATGTCAGATGGCACAGACTGAAGACATACCTGATGTTTCCATTACTATAGAAATGGAACATTTCAGAAGAATTAAAAAAAAGGAAGTGGGATAATAAAAATATTTTTCTTTTTAGCAAATTACATGAGGTCTTGGAATGCTGTTCCCACTGATTGGCTTGGAAAGGCCCCATTTAGAAGGTGGTGGTATTATCAGTCCCAGTGATAGTCTGGAATCAGGCGGGTTGACAGGAGTGACAGTAATGGAAGAAATGTTTACACAGGAAGATGAACCATCACTACTCTGCCAGAAAGAGGATGAACATCTCTGAAACCCATGTTGCTCATGATCAGACATTTTGTGCAGCAGCTGTAAGGAAATGACAGAAAAATACACTAAGGAGAAGACAAGGAGGAAAGAGAAAAGTATAAGTGAAAGTTCACTTGCAAAATGAAACTGTAGGAAGTGAAATGATACATTATTCCCAATTGACTTTTCTAAAGTTAAAAATCTAAAAATACCTATTTTTCCCTTCCTAGGAGTCCTTAGACTCTGCATCATTTAATTTTATCACATTTCATTGAAATATTTTATTTTTTGATAGAAAATGAAATACTGCATTCATTAGGACTGAAGAAGAGTGAAGAAAATGAGTGAAGTCTGGACTTTTGAGGACCCTGAATTAGAGGCTCTGTCTTCCAGAAATAAACTATCATATTCAAGTTCTAGGAGCTGGAGAAACAGCATAGAAGCTAGGGTGTTTGCCTTGCACGTGGCCAACCCGGGTTTGATTCCCAACATCCCGTATGGTCCCCTGAGCACCGCCAGGTGTAATTCCTGAGTGTCTGAGCCAGGAGTAACCCCTGTGCATCACTGGGTGTGACCCAAAAAGCAAAAATAGAACAAAACAAGTTCTAATGCTTCTGCATGTTGCATGCCCGCTGATTGAGCCTGACAGCTCTCTGCTTTCTGTGATCCCTGATGCCAGGTATATGTGGACACCTCAGCTAGAGTAGTGGAACCCTTGGCAGGCCCCACAAATGATAAAAAAAAATAGTGTACTCTTTTTTGAGTATACTAAAAAGTGTGTGGCCAGGAAGTGTGTCCCATTTTAGCATGTGTGAGCACTCTGAGAACTTCCAGCACGCATTGCTTCCAGAATGTGCAAGCATTACAAATGATGGAATGTGATCCCAGATGAGCATCAATGTAAACACCTCAACCAAATGCATACAACGCCCAGGGAGGACCACAACCAGGTGTGTGATCTCAGGTGAGTAATGCAACTAAATGTGGGAGCATGTCTGGAGTCTGTGTGATACCTCCTAACCCCCAGCCCTATTACAGCAACATTGACAACACAGGGAAGGGGCAAAAATAGACATTCTTTAGAAAGTATTAGCATTAACAAATAAACACTGTCCTCCCGTTGTTCATCAATTTGAGCGGGCCCAGAAACGTCTCCATTTTGAGACTTGTTGTTACTGTGTTTGGCATATTGAATACGTCACGGGTAGCTTGCCAGGCTTTGCCGTGCAGACGAGATACTCTTGGTAGCTTGCCGGGCTCTTCGAGAGGGGCAGAAGAATCGAACCCGGCTCAACTGGGCTGGCTGAGTGCAAGACAAACACCCTAACACTGTACTATCACTCCAGCCTAAACCAGTTAAATTAAGACACCCAGAAAAGAAATTAATGTTCAGAGTCTGTTACTTAGAAAGGTAAGCAGCAGAACATACATTTAAAACAACAGGACTCTTCATCTTTTCAATAGGATCTTTTCAATAGGATGAGAGTTCCAAAAGGCAGTTTTTTTCAGGGTAGGGAGAGAGAATGAATAAACACAAGCAAGCAGTCCATTGTAATGGGTCTGATGTATGAGTCTTTAGATGATTTCAGGAGCTATTTCCATTATAGGATGGAAAACTATCAAGGGCTGAACTACAGAGATTTGAACTGTAAGATGCAAAAATGGTCAAAACATCAAGACAAACTGAAAGCAACAATTAAACCATTTTCCACTTCCCGTGACTATACATGCAACAGTCCAGAATGAAGCTGCTGGTTCTATCAATGCCCCCATTCTCCCCCAGGGAATGGCTAAGACTAAAGGTCAAAGTGAAGAATGCAGAAGCAGAGCTTTGGTTTACTCCAGAGGGAAACCTGAACAAAAGATGACCACTGGTATTTTTAATGAATTTTTGGTGGTGGAGAGGGAGGGGTTGGTGTGTAGGGCAAGACAGCATTATAGGGGTCAGTCCTGGATAGGGAAAGAGGAAATTGCCAGGGATAGAAAAGTATAAGTAAGGTATGGAATGATCTTGGAGCAAAGTATGTATCACTCTAGTCCACTGGATAATGTGGTCACGGCAGAGAAATCAAAGAGGGCACTTGGCCTAGGGGCCTCCAGCAGTGAGGAGTGCAGATATGCTTCTGAGCACTGCCAGTGTGGGAGTTGAGGGGCTTGTTTTTCTGACTGCATATCCTCCCTGCTAAGAACTAACTGCTGTAGGGTGGCCAGCAGCCCCCCAGGAAACTTGCCCCCAAGAGCTCTGTAGCTAAGACTGGACTGTAAAGATCACATATAGAATTCTGGTACCACCAGCTTGTTAGAGATAAAACACATTGGATATTTAACAAATTGATAACAAATTCTTTGTTAATGCATTCTTTATTTTTTGATTAATATTCCAGCAATTTTATTACAGTAATTTTTGAAATGCAAAAAGATACGAATATTTGTACTTTGAAAAATATAGTAAGGCAACAAGAAGCAGTTGTTCTTGGTCACCGCCACTGTCACTGTTCTCCCATTGTTCATCGATTTGCTCGAGCGGGACCAGTAACATCTCCATTGTGACAATTGTTACTGTGTTTGGCATATTGAATACATCACGGGTAACTTGCCGGGCTCTGCTGTGGCAGGCGAGATACTCTTGGTAGCTTACGGGGCTCTCCGTATCATCAGAATATAACATAAATCAGATTCCTCTACATTGTTTTGTAACTTGTATTGGACAAAAAGTATTTATGAAATGACTTAAAATTGAAGGTTCAATTCACTTAATTTAAAATTCTTTGTATTTTTCATGGTATTTTTATTTTCTACTTCCTCTGAGTGGTAAACTGATATAAAGAATGTATATAACTTAAAAATAATCAAGAAGTTAAATGCTTCAATTAAGAGGTATCTTTATATTTGAAATGGTAAGGTAGGGATATTTGTCAATAGTTATGGTATGTAGAATTTGGAACTCCAGTAATATCTTACTGAATCACAGATATCCTATCAGTTATCAGCAGCCCAAATTGGTGAAATGTATCTTTTTTGGGGGGCTACACAGGTCTTTTGAAAAAATGGTAAGTCAGTTGGGTTTTAGTAATACACACAGAGCCTTGTTCTGTTTTTAAAATTTTTTTACTTGAAAACTTAGAATATCTAGAAAGTGGTCTGCACAGTTTTGTAACTGTAATTGCTAATACTGAATATCTGCTATACTTTGTAAAGTGAGTGAGTGCATTCTAACTTATTGCTGCCACTCTATGTCTATTTCTTACATTTATGTCACAGCTGGGGCTCTGGCAATAGTTCAATTTGAAATTGAGAAGTTAGAAATTCAAGTCAAGGAATTACTGGTACATCCAATTCCTTCTAAGAATAAAATCTAAGCTCAGCATGTTTAAATGTAGAGGTAAATTTCAGTACTGCCTTATTCTGCACCAAACTGAAAGACCTACTGAGAATAAAAACATGTTAGCATAACAATTAAATGTTATTAGGTGGGCATAGATAAAATATTTTGAGCACTGTCTCTAATTGTGGAGATCTAACTGGATCAAGAAACTCATTTGAAAGCTGTTACTTTTAACTATTTGAGGGTACTTATTTGCTGGAGCAATAGCACAGCAGGTAGGGCGTTCGCCTTGCATGCAGCCAACATGGCTGACCCAAATTCAATTCCTCCACCCCTCTTGGAGAGCCCGGCAAGCTACCGAGAGTATCTCTCCTGCACAGCAAAGCCTGGCAAGCTACCCTTGACATATCTGATATGCCAAACATACATATTAGATATGCCAAACACAGTAACAACAAAGTCTCATGATGGAGATGTTACTGGGCGCGCTAGAGCAAATCAATGTGCTACCATTATTTACTCCCTTATGCTCATTCCTACAAGTCCTTTGGTTTTAAAAAGGTGTATAGAATCTGTTCTAAGATGAATGAGAAATTCTGATCAATATCTATGTGTAGAAATCTGTGCAGAAACTGCTAGGTTATAAGATCCACCAATGAAGGGTACCTCTATTTAAGATTCACTGTTAGTTTTGTACATTTAAGTAAATAGTGGTTTGGTACCATGAGGAAAATTTCAACAAAATATTGACAAAAAATGAATAACGTCCTAAAGGATGTGTGTGAATCTTTCAAGAGATATAAAATGCACTGAAATAAACAAAACAAATGCTATTAAAGTTCTGGAGCTAGAGAGACAGTCCAGTTGGTGCTTGCCTTGCTTACTGCCGACATTGGCTCAGTCCCTCAGTACTGCATATGGTAGCTAGAGCACCACTAGGAGTAATCCTTGAGCTCAGAATCAGGAATAAGTCCTGAACACATGTGGGCATGGCCCACCCTCCTCCCCCATGAGACGGGTTAAATAGTTCTCAGGTAATACATAGAGAAATATTAGAGCATGAACATTTTATTTCATGCTATCAGTTGTTTGGATAATATAAATCTACAATGACCAAAAATGTAAGACAACCTTAAGATTAAAATTTAGCACATGATAATTATGAAAATAGTAGAGTTTCATGGAAAATTTAAAGTATTTTAAATGTATAGATTGCTTAATATTTCTACTTAAAGACTGTTGGATTATAAATAATATTGAAGATGGGGAAATTTATAAGAAAGAAGATTAAGGATATAAGAATTTTTGGAAGCTATCCTTAAAAAATTATTTATTAATTCACATTTTGTTTCTTGAGTCACACCCTATGGTGCTCAGAGGCTTGTTCTGGTTTGGGAGTTGTTCCTGGATGTGCCTAAAGGACCACGTTGTGCTGGAAAGCAAATCAGGGTAGGTAGAGTGGTTGGCCATGGTTTCAATAAAAGTAAGATTCATAGTTCTGAAATACATGAAACTATATGGGTCCCATAAATGTCTTAGATCTTTCTATATTGTTTTGCTATTAATAATTCATTATCTGAAATATTTTTAAGAATATTTAGTGAAGCAAAATAGTTTTACTTAAAGTCATTTACTTATAGAAATGTGAGGGGAAAGAAGTAAAGAAATATGTATGTATCTTTTTTTTTCTTTTTGGGTCACACCAGTGATGTTCAGGGGTTACTCCTAGCTTTGC